CAGAAGGCTGGCAGTTCAAACCCACCAGCCACTCCTCAGAAGGAAGGTTGGGCAATCTACTTCCATAGTGATACAGCCTTGGAAACCCAAGGTGGGGTCACTATGAGTTGGGTCTGACTCAACAGCAGTGAGTTTGGTTTGGTTTTGGTTACTTGTACCAAAGGAGCTCTGATGATGTAGTGGGCAAGACATCTGGATACTAACCAGAAAGTGGGTAGTTCAAACCCACCAGCTGCTCCATGGGAGAGAGATGAGACAATCTACTTCGGTAAAGATTTATAGGCTTGGAAACCCAGAGGGGGTCACTGTGAGTCAGAATTGAGTCGATGGTAGTGGGTTTGGTCTTTTGGTTACTTGTAGCTTCTCAAGTGAACTAGATAATGGGCTTTTATTGGGGTGAAACTAATGCATTTTACTGCTGGAAATGCAAATGCCTTTATCACAATAAATGACAAGAACTGCAGTGAAGAATACACACCCAGCAGACAAATTCATTTGTACCCAGATTTCTAAACCCTAGGATCAGATTGAGTAGTCTGCCAAGTTAAACTTGGAGGGTTAAAGTTTCATATTAACCAGATTTAACTGTGTGAGTTGTTGGTATTCAGCCACAGACAAGAGCCCATTGACCAGTACCGAGAGAAATGATAAAATATATGTTCTTTCAGCAAGTGCTTTGTCATTTAAAAAGAGGGACACTAATCTTGCTTTTCCAAATGATTACAGTTTTTATTCATCATTATGCAGAATTTAGGTGGCAACTAGATAAATCCCTCATTCAGAGCACTAATGCCTGAGGTGTCTATTTTCGTCAGCAAGAGATTCCAAAACTGCAGTGAACTGCTTCTTAGATTCATTGAATTTACAGCCAGAAAGGACCAAATGGATCATCTAATCATCCTCCTCTCAGTTATCATCAAAAGACTGGTAATACATGTGGCCTAACAGTTAATGCAAATCTTGTTTCTTTACGTTCTTTGACAGGCTCCCACAGACCTCACCAAAATGCCCTCTCAAATGGAACATGCCATGGAAACGATGATGTTTACGTTTCACAGATTTGCTGGGGATAAATGCTACTTAACAAAGGAGGACCTGAGAGTGCTCATGGAAAAGGAGTTCCCTGGATTTTTGGAAGTAAGTGCTGAAAGACTCAAAGAACCAGAAAGAAAATAAATCAATGCTTTTAGACCCTGGTTCCTTTCCTTTCCTTTATCCATCCCTTCCCTATGTAGAAAATTCTAGAAAGATATTTTTGTTCATTTATTTATTATATATAATTGAGTGCCTACTATTATTTGTAAGATACTGTAGAGGAGAAAAAAAAAAGGAAAGAAGACACAGTCCCTGTCCCCAAGGAACTTAGAATCTGAAGTTGAAATAAGGCTCCATACAAATAACCATAATAGGAGGTAGGTGTTGGTTAGAAAAACTCTATCCAGAGTCATCTGCATCCATTGACATTACTGTTGCTGGGAAGAAGGCTTTTCACGAGAGAATAGTCAACCAGGGGACTGTAAACCTGGAGAGGAAGATGTCACTTTGAACAACTTGAATCTCCCTTCTTAAATGCCTTCAAATCAAAGGATTTTTTTTTTCTTTTTGCAACTTTAATCTGTAAAGGAATAGTGTCAAGTATCTACTGAAGGAGAGGCAAGCTTCACTCCAGAAATAACTGCTTTTCACACTGAAAGTGCTCTCAGAACACAGGAGCACAGGAACACTGTCACCTTTAACAGACAGACAGACTACAGGAGGACTCTGCCATCAACTTAGATGCATTACTCAGGACTTAGGCCACAGGCACAATTGTCCATTGTAGACCCCCCCTTATGAGACAGTTGTAGAATTTACTTGAAGGTAAAATGTTGCTTGACAATACATTGGATTGGAATATAAAACCTTTTCCTGTTACAAATGTAATCGCTTTGAAAGGATCATTACTCTGCTTGGTGTTGAATAATGTATTAGCCACTAAAGGGTGAAAGGAAATGACGGTAAAAGGCTGGGTCCTGCCTCTTGTCATCTGCCTGGTAAATAGCACATTAGTTAAGCCCCTGAGTCTTATGTCAATAAACATGGGGCTTTGTGGTGCACTGTGATTTACATCTTATCAATACCAGTTAAAAAACATGAAAATAGCCTAACTCTGAGCTGCAGTTACCATATTGCTATCTCAAAATGAGTTAGATCATAGTTGCTCTGTGTTTCTAGAAGCCTGTGATATATCCCCAGAGTCCTTTGGTGGTGTAAACAGGTAATGTGCTCAGTTGCTAATCAAAAGGTTGACAGTTCAAGTCCACCAGAGGCACCTTGGGAAAAAAACCTGGCAATCTCCTTCTGAAAAATCAGCTATTGCAAACTCTGTGGAGCACAGTCCTACTACTGTAACATGCCAGGGTCACCACGAGTCAAAGTCCACTTGACAGCAGCTGTTTTTTTATGATATAGCCCCAGACCAGGAGTTAGAAAAGCCAACTCCGCCCCAGCTAATACTAGGCAGATTGCTTCAGTTCTCTGGGCCTCAGTTCCCTCCTCTATAAAATGATAGGGCGGGGCATGATTATCTCCATAGTTACCTTCACTTTCTACGATAGTTCAAGGCAAGTATAAAATGCAAGGACAGAGCGTGCTCATTGTAAGCCTTTCTATCACACGAACAAAGCCTTTCTCAGCACACTCAATACTTGCGAATCATGTTGTTGTGTAAGTTAGAAGCCAGGATGAATATCATGTAAGACACAGACACTTCTACCCTAAAGGCTTTGCAGCACAGGAAACATAAAGGGCGTATGTGGCAGGAAGTACTGGAGGTTGCAAGGTAGTTTATTCTAGGCATCGGGTCATAATTCCAGGCACACCCATACTCACTGCATTGATGGAGCAGTTTGCTTCTAAAATTGACCCCTTATGCCATCCAAATTTTACTCATTCTGACCACAGCCAGGAAGCTGAAGGTGAGGCTAGAATTAACTGAAACCCACCAAAAACAGAGATAGCAACATAGAAAACTCACTGTCGTCAAATTGATTCAACTCATAGCGGCCCCTCCTTGGGTTTCTGAGGCAGTATCTCTGTGGAAGTAGATTGCCCAATCTTCCTTCCGAGGAATGGCTGGTGGATTTGAACCACCAGTCTTCTGGTTAGCAGTCAAATGCCTTACGCACTATACTACCAGGTTTTAATTGATTACTTAGGGTAGCAGTTTGCAGTCCTTTGTAGGAACTGCTGCTGCTTTAATGTTAGGGATTTCTGAGTGCAATTTATAAACATCCAGCACATGTGAGACACTGTCAGTTCCCTCACTTAATGACACTGTCACTGGAATTCATAAATTCTTTATCTGGGCCCTTTAACAACTCTCATGGCACATATCTCCCTCTCCAGTTGATAACATAGACCCATAGGGAGCCCATACATTTCCACTTCTAACCAGCAACTCTACAAAAAGGAGTGATCAAGCCAATCACCATGGGAACAAGATGAAAACAAAAAGGATCTTGCCTGCCCATCTCAGCCCCATGTAGTCATACCAGGCATTGGCAGTCTCAAGCATATATGACTGCATATTCATATTCATGTTAAAACCCACCCAAAGCACACTGTCCAGCAGAGAGTGTAACATGGCATAGATGTATCAACTCCTAAAGAAAGGATCTTAGAGGTACTCTAGTCCAACCTCCTCAAGTCATATTTGATAAAGTAGAGCCTACTAACCTATGTGACAGACACTAGATCACACAGCCACACTAGCGTGGCCTCAGCTGTGCCAGCGAGAAATGAAAGCTGTCTCTTCATCCTCTCCAAACCTAAAAACACCCCGTGGTATCTATGGCATCTCCTTAAAAATAAATAAATAAAAATCCATAGGACAATGATCTGAATGAAACTTACTTCCTAAATAGTCTTACGAAATCTTTTCTTAAGGAGTTTCACTTTTTAAGGATTTGACTATGGTATCAGGAATAAAAGTTTACTAAGCGCATGTAAAGGAGCTCTGATGGTGTAGTAGATAAAGCACCTGGCTGCTAACGAGAAGATCAGTGGTTCAAACCTACCAGCCACCCCATGGAAGGAAGATGGGGGATCTGCTTCCATAAAGATTTATAGCCTCGGAAACCCAAAGGGGGTTGCTGTGAGTCAGAATCAAAGTTTAAACTACAAAATGGAGGATTTAGGATGGTTCTTAGGCACCACTTGTGATTTTAAAAATTGTAGAAACAGTTAAACTGCAAATAGTTCTAAGTGGCAAGAGCCCTGGATTAAAAATTAGGAGACCTGCATCTATGTTCTCTGGCATGGAATCTTCTCTTTCTATTATTTTCAAAATTGAAAATTTCTAAGTTTCCTACAGTTATATGAAAGAATGTCATAGGAACCTCTCTCCTAGCTTCAAATAAATATGAATTTACTGACATGCTCCACAAAACATAAAAATACAGACTCCAGACAGGCCTACGAATGGAACACTATACCAGGGAGATGTACTCCTTAAAACAATCAACCATGGGTGTAGTAGTTAAGGTTGTGTGTCAACTTGGCTGGGCCTGGTTGAGTGGCTAGACAGCTGGTGGTAGTTACTCCCCATGATGAGACTGGCAGTCAGCTCCATGGTGGGATCTATCACAAGCAGCTGAGCAGCTTTAGGGATGTGGTCTGCTTCCCATGTATAAGCAATAGCTTTGGGAATGGTCTCCAGCTTATGGCACGTTTGAACACTGCATGTAGGCGAATCATTGTTCAGCAGCCTGCCATGCTCTGCCGATCTTGGGACCTTCAATGAACTTGAATTAATGGTCTGCTGTGCAGTTTGGTAATATCGGGACTATGCCTTTTTACTTGTTGACCTTGGCATTGTCAGCCTCAACAGCCAGCAGCTGAGTGAAGAAAGGCCTCCAACTTCAGTGGGTCAGGAGCAGGAGGCAACACTGAAGCCCAAGGTTGAGAGGCTTTCACCCAGCCCCTAGAGCCTGGCACTTTGAACTTGGGCTTAAGCCTCCAAATTTTAAGAATAAACTCCTGTTTGTTAAAGCCATCCTATTGGTGGTATATTCTCGTCAGGGTGGCACTAGGTAACCAGAACAATGGGAGATTAGAAGGGCATCATTTGCGTAGGGAGAAAGGAAGGTAGGAATGCACAGGCAGGGACACAGGGAAAGAGTAACCAACCACAGGGCGGAAGTGTGAGGTGAGGTGTTACATTGCAGGAAATGAAACCATTGTCACAAAACAAAATGTGTTTGAACTGTTGAATGCAAAATGAATTTGCTTTGTAAATTCCACCCAAATCACAATAAAAAGTGAGCAAAATAAAATTTAAAAAAAAAAGTTGTTGTTGTTGTTATGTGCCATCGAGTCGGCCCCGACTCATAGCGACCCCTCCTTGGGTTTCCGAGACAGTATCGCTACGGAAGTAGGATTGCCCAACCTTCCTTCCGAGGAGTGGCTGGTGGGTTTGAACCGCCAGCCTTCTGGTTAGCAGTCAAACGCCTTAGGCACTACACCACCAGAGCTCCCAAACAAGAGTTCAGATAATGGGGAGATTGTGCACGTGGTTGTCAGCAGTGCAAATGAAATCAGTTCATCATGCAACCACTGCCTGATAATTTCTTAACTTTGTTCTTTTTTTCAGAACCAAAAAGACCCTCTGGCCGTGGACAAAATAATGAAAGATCTGGACCAGTGCCGAGATGGCAAAGTGGGCTTCCAGAGCTTCCTTTCCCTAATTGCTGGGCTCACCATCGCATGTAACGACTATTTTGTAGTACACATGAAGCAGAAGGGAAAGAAGTAAAAATAGGCAGTATTGAGGAATGACTCCCACCCTGACAAGAGTTATCCCAAAGAGTTGCTTCAGGAGTCTGCCCCATAGCTTTCCCCTGTATAAGGATTTCATGAACAGATTGGGGCCCTTCAGAATATGTACAAATAAACTCTAACTCCTGTTTGACAAGTAGAGAAAGAAAAGTCAATTAAATGCCAGATAAGCTTTTGATTTTTATATTGTTTGCATCCTCTTGCCCTCAATAAACAAATTCCTTTTTTAATACCTAATCTGAGATAGAATGTTTGTTCCTTCTTTGAAAATGTTTGTTCCTTTCATTTCACAGAGGCTCTCCACAGAACCAGCAAAATGGAAACACTCTCCATTCAGACTAGGAGTCTAACTTCTCTAATGGATCCAACTCTGTAGCTATGTCTATAAAAAAATTGCCATCAAATTGACTCCAACTAATGTAAACAGGAAGACTGTGCTCCATAGGGGATTTTTGTTTTTCATTTTTTTCTTCTTTTGTAGGTGCCATCAAGTCAGTTCTATTTTATTTTTTATTAAATTTTTCATTTTCTTTTTTTTTTTAAATAGTGATTTGGGTAAAAGTTTACAGAGCAAATTGGCTTTCTGTTCAGTAATCCATACACATTCTTTTTGTGACATTTACTGCAGTTCTCACATAGTACAGCATTCTTCCCACTTCTCCCTGCACCCACCCCTTCACATCATCCTTCCGTCCCAATCCCACCCACCATCCCAGCTCTATCCCTGGGCAAATGCTGCCCTCTTGATTGCAATACTTGATTGTTCTAATGAGTGCATACCCTCCTGATTTACTGTTCACTTTATAGACCTATTATTTGGCTGACAGTTGAGTCACAGGGGTTAAGTTCAGTTCCCAGCTTGAAGGGTGTCCAAGGGCCATAGTCTCGGGTTTCCAGACCATCAAGCCTGGACTTTTTTT